ATCTTGAGTTGCCAGGTAAAATCCAGATTGGACAGTTGTGTGATTCTAAAGATGCACTAATAGCTGAACAGAAAGCAAATGAAACTTTGTCTGATCTTTTTGCTAGGGTTGTACCTGAGTGAGTAATATGTGTGTATATGTTTACATGATCATGTAAACATGTCTGTCAGGCACCAACAAGTGATTTCTTTAGAACAGATGGAGTGAAGCAGGTCTTACAGCAATTAGTCTNAGTGGTGGGGGGTTCAATAGTGGTGGTGGGGGTTTCAGTAGTGGTGGTGGGGGGTTCAGTAGTAGTGGAGGGGGGTTCAGTAGTGGTGGTGGGGGGTTCAGTAGTAGTGGAGGGGGGTTCAGTAGTGGTGGTAGGGGGCTCAGTAGTGGTGATGGGTTCAGGAGGGAGGGTGACACACCTGATGAAGACAGAAACACAATGAGCTGCTGCTTCTGAGGCCTGCAGCCACCAGGGGGCACTCTACTGTTCAGATCTGTGACTGAAAGCTAATGTGGACCTGAGGGAGGTTTTTCTTAGCGCAGAGTTTCCAACACGTGAGTGTTTTTCAGTAGCTCTTCAGAGTTTATGAAATATTAGTACTAGTATCATTTGATTTGGAAAGCCACCGATGCAGCAACAGAAACTTGATTTAGTGTGACACACACTTTAAACCAGCACCAAAACCTTTTCTCTGATGGCAGGATTATGAAGGAATTTCTGTCTGCGGTGCCTGACAGTGTTCTGGGACCACAAATGTGAGGCAGAAAGTTTTTCTGCTATTGCTGATGTGCAACCTGGTGCTAATACTGAGGCGTGGAGAGTCTGCGTTTTCCACAGCTGCAAATGATTTTCAGTTCCGTGTGATGAGTGAGACACCTGATCTCACTGTTTTATTCATATTCTGTTTGGAGACTTTTTAACTTTATTCCTGCTACAACCAAGGAGTTGTCATGCATGCTGTGTACAGTGGTGGGCAGCGCTAATTCAAGAATTAGCTCTGCAATTTCTAAAGCGCTTATGAAAATATTAAGGTCCGCAACTTCAAAAGAGCTTATGCCATAGAAATATTAGCAGAAACTAATTTTAAAGTGCAAGTTCAATTTGACACTAACTAGCTGGCAAAAATTCATGTACAATTTATGCACAACACTGCCAACTAACGCTGAATGAACCCTTGTACAGCTTAATTTACAACCGCCGATTGCTGGGCATGTGATTTCCTGAAACAGACCTTTGGCTCCTGGTGTAAAAATTAAGAAGTTGTTGAGGATTGCTAGTTCGGCTACTTCGTTGTCTTTTTCTTTTGTTTGTTGTAGATTTTTCATTAAAGAAGCATCAATAAAGTAATTTTAAAACTGTTTATTGGAAATTGAAGTGATTTAATCTGTAAATAAATGGCCCGTGGAGAACGTGCCAACATAAGCTAATGTCACTTTTGTGTCTTGATAAAGTATTATTGGTTCAGATAAGGACAAGGACTCATCAAACGATTTTGGGTACATTTATTGTGAGACTGATTACAATAAAGTTACAGGTTTTCGTCTCTTTCCTGGGTTAGTTTTTGATCAAATTAAGAGTGTGGTGCCTCGAGGTAAGATAATTTGCATATTTAAATAATTCACAAATTATGCATTTTAGAATATACCTAAAAACCCTACACCTGTCTTCATCAGCATAACATCTTTAAATCATTTCTGAGTCTCTAACACCATTGGCCGATCGCTTCGACCAATTACGTCAAGTATTGAGCTCCAGCGTTTAAACATTTTTTTAAAAAGGAGCTCCGATTGTAAAGTAAATTCAATCAATACATACAAAATTTTAGCATGGATTACAAACGTTTACTGTTTTGCTATTGCCTTCCTGATACGTAAGCAGACACAAAGCACTGTATACCTACACAATAAGTGTGTTTATCTGGGAGGGGTGCTGTTGGATAGATCAAGTGTGTTGTGATTCATTGACWGCCATACCTTCCGCTGTTCAAGATAATGATGACTGGTAGATAATTRGTTATTAGCGGTACTGCATTTTAATTTTAGACAGCGCAAATCSGCTTATGAATTGTAAAAATTAGTARGACCGCTAAAGCGCAAATGAAATCTTTACGTCCGCAATTAGCGGATTTGCGCTTTAGCGGGCTGGTGCCCACCACTGGCTGTGAAGGACTACTTCATGGTGGTGTCTGTGGCATCCGCCACAACAGGAGTCCACTCAGGATTTATTGCACACTGCAGAGCCAATCCAGGCTTTCCCAAGATCCAGAACTAYATGCATCATCCACTAAAAGTTTAGAAGAAATTATGGTATTTGACAACAGAGGGCACAGCTAGCCAAACTGCTTCACTAACCTCAACTGCTACACAAATTACTTAGCTCTGCTACACATAYATACAACTTGGTAGAAGTTGATGCTAAACCGCTAACATTTAAACACCCACTGTGTGTCAAGAAGGTAATTGCACTTTACCAATAAAAGACTTAAGGCTTTGAACACGTYGCTCTGTTCCCATCACTTCCCTCTACACACTGGGGCGGACCTTTTACTCATGGTGCAGCTTTACAGTCAACCAAACCTGAATGTGTAATGTGACAACTGAAGTGAACACAACTCAAAACTGTTCATAAAGCAAGA